TATCCACAAATATCAACCAACATTCCTAATACTGTATACCTCACAAATATTCACCAATAGTCCTAATTTACCTCACAAATACCATCAACATTCCTAATACACCCACAAATATCCACCAACAATCCTAATATTACGTCATACACGCATTAAAACTAAAGATCTCAAAAACGCTTATTTTCCCTTTGGTTTCCTGAATTTAAGTAGCATCCACAATTATCCCTCATGCATCATGCAAAACAACGCCGAGAAATGACCACAAAACACCTCTTATGTACCTCTATTTCTCCTACACCATCCTCGCTAGATTGCGTTGTTGTCTTTCGTTTTCTCGTGTCTTCGCGTCTTTCTGTTCTATCATCTTTGTACTCAATTTTCCAAACTCTCAATTCACTATCAGCACAACCAGTAATTAACCTTGTTTCATTCTTGACGACGACAAAGCCCCAAACCTTAAAAAAATGTACATTACAGTGACTTTATTACTGTTCCTAAATCCATGTTTCTAGCCAAGTTTCTCATCCTTATTCTTTTACGGAGAGACAAGGGTAGACAACTCCTACATCCTATCATAACAACAAATTCATAGGTTCCATTCACCTCTGTTTTATGACCAACCAAGGTAAGAAAACAATGCTGTGAATCAAGATCCCAAAATTTCACGAAAGTGTCTTTGGAACTAGGAAAGACAAAACCATTAAATACAAACTAGCAAAGCCATTTAAGATGAAAATAGATCTTCTACATTTACCTAGTTATAAGAACATTTTGAAAATGAAGAAACCGACAACAAGTCACCATTCCTTTATGACCTTTAAGTCTGAAGAAATAACAAATTTAAGAACATTGTGGTCATACATACATACACATCATTTATCTCTTTCTTAACAAACATTGCTATATAATGAAGAACTCGCTAACTTTGACATTTCTGTCATATGATACGTAGCTTCTAAGCTTTACAACATACGTACATTGTGTATGCAGGTGGCAAGACCTCAGTTTAAATATTACACTGTAAGTCAGTAAGTCATACTCCCCACTCTCAGTTAGTAACATAAACTCCAACATTTTTAGAAAGTCAATAACATAAAAAACATGTAAAGAGAAACACCTTACTTTGGAATATCAACATAATCATAACTGCGTATAAGCAGTATTGATAATGCACATTTAATGAATACCACAAGTTTTTTCAAAGCAAACATGTTTCAACATCTCATGATGCCACCTTCATATAAATACACTCATCATTTATTCTAATCAATATTTCATTGTAATATTTATATATAATTTACTCATAATTGTATAAATTGTATCACTGTATCATATTACTCTTATTTATATTCATTACATACATAATACTCTTTATTATACTGAAGATGGCATCATAAGATGTTGAAACATGTTTATTTTAAAAAACTTGTCATATAACATTAAATGATCATAATCGTACCTGAACATTCCTGAGTCATTAATTATATCCCAAACAATGACATCTGTATCCTATAGTAGTGACAGAAAACAACACAAATGAATTGTTTACATTTTATAAACTACCATTCACAATTTATAGCAATTGATTCAAGTGTCATAAAAATCACAATTAAAGAATACCTTTGATCCAGACACCAATTTGACACCAGTATAATCATAGTTAAGAGCTGTAACTGCTGTCTTGTGACCACTAGAAGAAATTCATGTTTGTTAATGTAGATCGTTCAGGTTGGTATAGTCCTGAGAAGGACTGTTTTTGTTGTTCTATAGGACTTCTGAGGACTATACCAACCTGGATGATCTACATCTACAAACATGTAACGATACTCCCGGTTTCAAACCATTTACTTTAGAAGAAATTCAATGAAACGAAAGATGAAATAATTTTTTAATCTTTTAAAGAGATATGGCAAGAATAGAAAATGCCTAATGAAGATGGTTGCTTTGGCATCTTTGAAAACATTAGTGCTGATACACATCCATTCACCAGAATTAATAATTTTTACACAAAAACACAAGTCTACCCTTCCCTCCACAGTGATGCAATAGTGCGACATTGACTACGTCACTGCTTGATACTATATTTTTAGGGACAACACTGGTTGTATTGACTATTCTTATAGTTTCAGACGTTTCTGTGTAAATTACAAGGCATTTAATGTTCATTTATCTTTCATCAATTTTATACACTGAAATTTGAAAACTTTCCACGTTCCTTTTGGTTGAGAGCATGTAAAAATGTCTTCAAGTAGTAACTTGTTAACTGGCAAATTTTCTCAATTGAGTTTTGAACTGCTTTGTGATTGGAACACAGAAGTTGCAATGGCAAACAAAATGCTAAATAGGGCAAAATGCACCATCAGCAACGTCTGTACAAGTTGTAACCCTCTCCGAGATACCTCTTATACCTTGTTGCTGCATTGTGGGTCTTAAAGTTGGAAAATTTTTGGTTGATGTGCCTAGTACATACATTATAATAGCGTGATGAGTTATATTAACTGTTTGTTTACCGAAGAATTTTTTGAAATGAGTTTTGGACTGTTTTGTTACTAGAAATCTGAAGTACCGATGGTAAACAAATGGTTGAGCATAGAACAAAATGAAAAATATATTCCATGACAGGAAATGTACCTAAATGTCACTAAGGATGTACCATTATTTATATTCCAAATTCTGATGATACCATCACCATACCTAAAATTTAAAAATAAACTGCAGGTGGAGGTGCATGTATGCAGGTTAAGTCTAACATTCTTCTGCCTGTAAGCAGCTGCAAATTTATTATATACATTAAGATCAAAAGCTGTTCAGTTTTCAAAAGCAAGGAAAATTATTTTATAAGGGCAAATTTTATTACTTGTTGTCAAAGTGATATAATTTATCTAGTCTAACAAAGATGTAGAAATTAAAATAGTTTGGGACTCGTGGGAAATGTACACCAATGATTTTTATTTTTGTTAACATTACATACTGTACAGGTTGACTGACATTTTTTTCCTGGATATCAAGATCTTTCAGAATACAAGGGGGAAGGGTGGGATCTGGCTTTTATAAGTTAGGAGGTATAGGATCTGGCTTTTATAAGTTAGGAGGTATAGGATCTGGCTTTTATAAGTTAGGAGGCATAGGATCTGGCTTTTATAAGTTAGGAGGTATAGGATCTGGCTTTTATAAGTTAGGAGGTATAGGATCTGGCTTTTATAAGTTAGGAGGTATAGGATCTGGCTTTTATAAGTTAGGAGGTATAGGATCTGGCTTTTATAAGTTAGGAGGTATAGGATCTGGCTTTTATAAGTTAGGAGGTATAGGATCTGGCTTTTATAAGTTAGGAGGTATAGGATCTGGCTTTTATAAGCAGGGTGGTCAAGCCCTGCCTGACCTTGTGTTTCTTACAACCATACCTTTTACTGTTAAAAGTGTTGATTAGCCACAATGAAGTAAATATCCGGCATCATTTACAAGACATAATGAAATGCTATATTATTTAATTAGATAAGCTCTTTTACTCACCCAACAGCAAGATGTTCAGAGTCAGGACTGAGGCAGAGACATGTCACTTCGCTCTTGTTACCTTGTAAGACATTCACCTAGACATTTAGATAAGCATATCATAAAAACACTTTTAAATAGTGGAAAATCTAACATTGATTAAAGGTTTCAACAATTCTCTTCGAATACTTTTTCGCCAAGTCTAGCGTCCCAAATATATACATTTTCTAGTGCGGGAACAATCGCGAGGCAAATTTCACGTCTTTTCTCGCCACTTTGAACAAGACACACATTAGCTCTAGCACTTCCCACTACGCCAAAGATTCCAGCTTCGACGTAACGCAGATACGATTTTGTTAAGACCATTTTAAAGGAAAAAGAAGAGTCCATTAAGAGACCATTAAGAGACCATTTTAAAGGAAAAAGAAGAGTCCTAAATATTGGAAATTCATCTTGAACTACAACGAATTGTCTTCCACACCCGATTTCCACGTGGGGATTTATGGTTTAAGATTCTGACTATATTGACCAGGCGGAGAAAGGGGGGTGTCGTCCAATGGTATGTCCCACAGGGGGGAATTAGTTAGATCAGATCACGACCAGGTTCTTTTGGTCGATATTGGTGCGTGGGTTTGAAAAATCGATGTTATACGGGCAATTTGACATTGTAAGATGTTTAAATATATTAGAATAAAGAAACTTTTAGTAGAGAACGCCTAAAAAACTTGTAGTTTCACGATCTGTCTAAATTTTTAATGATTATATGTAAACATCGTTTCATAGCGTTTTCACACCTAGAAGAATAAAGAAATATAAATATGCCAGTTTTGGGCATATATAACCATGGTTGTTATAATAGTTTCTACAAGGATAACATTTAATAAGCCAAGCAATTTGTATCGTCTAAATTGAACCTCGCTTTGAAACATGTTATAAAATTATAATTCATTTTGGATGATAAATTTCTTCTTACCTTTCAATATTTTCATGATTCAATCCAGAAAGTAACTTCTCTTCTCGATTAATTTTTCAATTAAACAGCACACTTTTCAGATTCAAAGAATTTTTTTGACCGTATACAGAAATCCGTCCAATTTACTACGTTACTAAGCGTATATAAAGCATTTAGAAAGATGCAGGTAGTTATTTTTACATATTTTTAACAACATCATGAGCAGTTTCCACTACTATATACCAAGTGAGCAAACGAAATTCAAATAGATAGAATTCCTTTGTTGTTAAACAAAATGCTTTTGAATAATAACAATCGTCACGCAAAAATCAGAAAAATTAACTGAACCGAAAAAAAGATACGGTCAATTCCAAAAGCCTGGACGATAAAAGTGTAAAAGAAAATGAGACATGGTTGCCACAACAACGCAAACAGTTATCCTATTCAAGCATATTTAGACTTTACTGTCATTCTTATCTTGCAAAGTCATATTTCCAAAGTTTCATTGTGTTTGATCAAAATAATGTTTTAACCCTGTAAAGCCCCATGTGACATATGTGTAACATTCCTTTCAGTGGACTTCTGTATTCCAGCTATTCTAGTTTTTTGATAAAATTTTGCACCAATACCCATCGTGACATTCTTGTAACACAAAATGAGTGAATTTGATTGGTTATTCCATATATGGCGATCAGCATGCAATATACAAAATGGCCATCATCGACAAGAAGTCAAAGTCCATAAACACGCATTAAATATGTTTGATATTTTTGATTATATAAGGTATGAAATTACTTTTTTTTATATATTTGAGCTTTTTTAGTGTTTATTTTCATATTAAACCAATAATGTGCTCTAGATTGAAAAGGTATGTGTTATTTTACTTCGTCAAAACTTTTGTGTACATTGGTGTCACATTGGGCTTTCTGCCTCATAGCAGATAATATAGAATGTTGGAATGAAGGATGCAGTATCGCTCAAAAGCAACATGATAAGCTAATTACTTTGTATTGAATAAGAATAAGAGAGTATAAAGACCATGTAAATAACATTGGAGTCAAAATCTGCTCACAATGCCCAATGGCTGATAGTCAATATTTACTACTGGAAGTGTAGACTGACTTGCTAACACTAGAATGAAATCTCTAGGTGATGGAAGGACAACATTTTATGCTCACAATGTTCTTGACATCCTTGCTTGTGACAATAGTGATGCTGGTGATTCAGATAGCAGCAGTGACAATGAATGTTGGGAACAGATACAGGTAAAAAAGCTTTGCTGATTGTATTGGTTTTTGTACAAATTAAATTTAGATTTCCTATTAGCTTGGCTAACTGACACTGGAATAAACCAAAATAGAAATGCTATAATAGCAATAAAGAAGATTGATTGTTATAAAATTTCAAAATACAAATAAACTTGTCAGCAATTTTCAGTAAGGCTGATTATTCAAGAAGCCAATCATTCTAACCAGTACTTTTTTTCATTTGAAAATATTTTCTGTAGGGAGAATACTCTGGCAGCAGTGATGATGATGGTGAGTTTGAAAATGTGAGTGGGGAAATCGATGATAGTGATGACAATGATGATAACATGCCCCTAGCTTCAATGCGAACAAGTAAGCCGAGTTGGAGAAAAACTTCATTTGTTGTGTCGGAAACTAGTGTATCATTTACTGGTCCAAACGTTGAAGCCCCAGTGAACATGGAAACAAAAACTCCTCTTCAATATTTTAAGCAATTTGTGAGTGATGATATGCTTCAAAATTTGGTGACAAGCACCAATGAATACAGTGTCCAAAAGTCTGGAAACTCAATAAACACTAATAAAAAAGAGATAGAACAACTCATTGGTATGTTTTTCATATGGGGCTTGTAAGGATGAGTGGAGTTCAACAGTATTGGGAATCTGCTACTGCATACAGTCCTGTTTGTGATGTCATGAGTCGTAATCGATTTCAATTTTTATTCAAATCTAATTGTTTCTATGATTTCCATCAGTGATAGCATTACAAAAAACATATTTTTTTCATTCTTAAAAACCATGTTTTGTGTTGACTAATAAAATTATACATTTTGCCCTGCTATTTGAAGTGCATACAAACCATTATTCATACATAACATGTATTCTTACAAACCATTCTGAAGTGCATAAAGTTATCTTTTATGCCACAATTAGCCCGGTGTTACATATATGTCACGTAACACAATGAGGCCAAAATAGGACCTAAACACAATTTTTTCACTATTTCAGCAAGTAATGACTCCAAATGAGTATAAAAGTCAATGGAAATAATTTTAGCTATAGAAAATCACATTGTGGGTTCTACAGGGTTAAGTGAAGGCTACCTGAAACACCCGAATCTTGGGTGAACTGTAGGGAGCTTCACTAAAGGCATGACAAATAAACTTAAAATCTCTCACTGGAACGTTATCTTATTTACCCTGAAATTACACAACAAAGGTGATTTCTCGTAGTTTTTGGCTTCATAAAAAGGTAGCGTTCCAGTTGTATTTAGCTCAATGGCATGGTCTATAAGCTAGCTACACCATTGAGTTCTATAATAACACCATTGAGCTACACCATTGAGTTATAATAGAACTCAACGAGCTACGCTAGTTTATCATTTTATAGCTATTGAACAAACTGATTTGATACCAAGTTTTATCAATATATAGTAAGTCGGCTATAAAGCAAAAACATATAAAATTTAAGTCGGCTATAAAGCAAAAACATATAAAAGTAAGTCGTAAGTCGGCTATAAAGCAAAAACATATAAAATTTGCATTCCGCATTCTATCATTTTGCTGCTATGAAAAGAATTCAAAATTTCACAATATAATCCGCAGGGGATTAAAATTTAACATTTAGTGGACATTCCCATTTCTTTATCATCAAGCAAAAGCATCATGTAGTTGGTTGCGTCTTTAATGTTTCTGAATTTGTGAAGGTATGTTGATTCTAAACTTTTACCTGTCATTGTTATAATGTATTTTAATTTTGGGATTTAATATTTATGTCCATTTATCAATTATTTCTTTATGTCAAGAAAAATTTGTGATAAAGTCATTTCCGCGTTACGTATATGTTTTATATGGATAACATTTAATGATTCTAGTGAGATTTTTCAATAAATTTGCGTTTGTAACGATTTAGTAATGTAAACTTCTGATATTTTCCGATTTATTTCAATAGATTATCTCGAATTATATTAATATAGCAAAGCTATAAGATTAATAACATGTTTAGTCAAATACTGACACGTCACTCGTCACACAGTTTTAAATGTTCTGATCCCTACTGTTTTTCTGTAGTAAGGTGAAAATGTTTCTTTTTTTATTCATTTGTCACGTATCATTCAAATCTCATGTTGAAGATGCATATTCTACATCGCCAAAGGAAAACAAACCAGATTTTAAAGACCTTTGGTACAGCTAAATATAAATCAATGTAAAATACTATTAATATATTGATTTTTTTAATATAACCAACATTTTTACACTCATATAGTGTATAGTGCAACTGCATTATCGACTGATAAAGTTTTGCTTTAGATAACTGTATGAAATGATTAATTTCAGCAAATATTTGTAATTATTTTATACCGACTATACGCACTCTGTGTCAGCTTTACATAAAAAGTCTTTGTTGAAACGCATTCAGGAATGGTTAGGATGATGCAACTCAGTTGATATTCTTGTGTTGATAGTGTTGTGAATAAACTGGTCATGTTTTCTTTAATATTACGTTATTCTTACTTTACACATTATTGATAGTAATAAACTGGTCGTGTGTCTTATTATGGTGAGTTACACAAAGTACATTTATTAATGATAATGTCAGTGAAATGATAAAATGACCTGCATGGCATGTAGATAGCTGCTTTATAAAAGTTTTAAGCATTTACTCTTTGCACTATGGAGACCTTTGGGAGAACTCACAACTTCTCCAAACTTGGCATAAGCCAGCGCAAACACATTTGTGTTTTTTATAAAACATAGTGCATCCAATGATGCGAAACAGGCAAATAAAAAAACGTTTTAACTTTTCCTATAACATGATTTTGATTGATCTGCAAATTCCCTTATATTGATTGATTGATTTAATTGGTAGAGCTCAGCTCGGTTTGCAAACACACCTATAGACCAACTGCTTACATTGCTCTTAGCTACACTTAAAATTTTATTTTATGAAGGTTTTCAACAACTTGCTCAACTGCCACAAAAATACCTAAATGCATGAAAAAATTTTTCTACGTTTCTGCTGCCATGTTGGTTAACCAATTTCATGAACAATTGGAAATTTACCAACTCAATCTTCAACTATTTCAGTTGTCCATAAATTGTATTAAAGAATAATTATTGCTCATCTTATGATCATTTTATAATCCGTAGATGGAGTCAAAAGAAGAAAGGAATAACTACTACATGCAGAAAATACTTACAGATGTCGTTGAAAAGAAACTTGCTGATTTATTTATCCAAGAATGGGACAAACATTACAAAAATTCTCTTGGACAATGGGAAAATACAAACGTTAGTGGTCAAAAGTTGTTCAATATTGAAAAAACAAAAAAGAAACCTCATGACAAACATATTCTGCAAACTTTTCAAGATGGTGACACCAGTAAGTGGGATTGTACAACACTGTTCGCAGCAATACTGTTTTCCAACTCAGTTGGAACAAATCTTGACCCAAAAGTTAGAGATGCAGTAAATGAAATTCGTAATGTAAGAAACAAATTGACCCATGTAAATAAAGGTAAAGTATCTGATACCGAATTTCACAAAATGGTTGGTGATATTGAAAAGTCACTTAAGTATCTAGCATTTTCATTCACTGAAATTAATGAAATTAAATGTCAACGAAACAAATTTAATTCATTTCAAGTAATTCCTTGCAAACCAAATCACGATGTGGTTAAACGTACAGAGTTACTTAATCAAATCACAGCAGATCTCAATAACTTGCGCAGTACTAACAATAATGAACTGACATATTACTATATTTCTGGTAATCCTGGCAGTGGTAAATCTCAATTAGCCAGACAAATTTGCGACAAAATGTTTAACTCTGTTGACTGGGAAAATAAAACTACATTTGTGATGACACTCGAAGGAAAAGATGCTGACTCTCTCTTAAAAACTTATAATGAACTTTGTCAACGTTTGAACATCAATGAACATTTTATTGAAAATATTATAAAAAAGATAGAAAGCAGCGAAGACAGAATCAAACAATTTCATTTCCTGCTGACACAAAAACTGAAATCTTGGAAAATATGGTGGATTGTTGTAGATAACGTGGTTGAACTTGATAAAATTTATCCATTATTACCTCAAGTTGGTGATCATAATTGGAAGAATGGACAAATTATAGTAACTGTTCAAAACACAGATGCTATACCACCAGATGGAAATCTAAACAAACACATTTCAATTAGTCATGGTATGAATGATAAAGAATGTCGTCAGCTTCTATCTGTCTATACCGATATTCATAATCATGATGAAGAGTTTTGAAGAATTTGTCAGAAAAATTAGATCGTCAACCATTGGTCCTGGCAAGTGCTGCTTACTACGTAGGTAGTGTAAAAGTGCAAATTGGAATTCACGTGGGAGCAATATTTCCATAAGTTGAATGAAGGAGAGCGACAAAGCATGGATGCCACATTTCAAAAGATCAATAAAGCATATTCTGGAGGTAAATCAACTTTATTGAAAACTGTTGAGTTGGCAGTACAAAAAAGTGTCCAAGAATCCATAGTAATGGAAAAATTTTTTAGTCTTTTCTCGATAATATCTTTCGATCCGTTGCCACAAGATATTATCATACAATTTATTAAAAGCATTGATCCACATAAGTCAGCAGAAGATATATGCCTTCAATTAAAGCATTGTTCGTTAATTCTTCAATCGGAAAACAACGACATCCGCCTGCATCGCGTTGTACATGAAGCCATCATAAATTATCAATCTTGGCAGACTTCTTGCAGTAAACAAAAAGCAAAAAATTCGACTAAGATGTCTTTACTTGCGTATCAAGTCGCTTGGGCACTCTATCACTTTAAAGACAGAGAAGATGAAATTAAAATAACTCCGCATCTTACTAAATTTATAAACCATTCGTCATTTAAGCACTTTCATAATAAGTTGATCAAGGAGAAATCGTTATTTTTTTTCTATAGAAAACAAATACTTGATAAAAAAAATTTGAAAATTGCCAATTACTTTGTAAATGTATTAGAAAAATTTTGCAACTATAAACAAGCCATCAATGTACTTAAGGATATAATAACAATTCAAACTAGAGCTTTAGGCGTCAATCATGTTGACGTTTCATATTCGTACAATGAGCTGGGTCAGTTGTTTCGGAAGAATGGAGAGTACGAAAAAGCAAAAGATTTTCATGAACGAGCGATGAAAATTCAAACAAAAGCAATTGGACCTGACCATGTTAATATTGCATCAACGTACAATAATCTGGGTTCGGTTTACAATGATATGGGAGAGTATGAAAAAGCAAAAGATTTTCACGAAAGAGCAATGGAAATTCAAACAAAGCATTTGGACCTGACCATGTTGATATTGCGACAACGTACAACAATCTGGGTTTGGTTTACAGTAAAATAGGAGAGTACAAAAAAGCAAAAGATTTTATGAACGAGCGATGAAAATTAAAACGAAAGCATTTGGACCTGACCATGTTAATTTTGCGACAACGTACTGCAATCTGGGTTCGGTTTACAATGTTATGGGAGAGTACGAAAAAGCAAAAGATTTTTACGAACGAACAATTAAAATTTACACAAAAGCATTTGGACCTGACCATGTTTATATTGCGACAATGAACTGCTATCTGGGTTCGGTTTACAATGATATGGGAGAGTACGAAAAAGCGAAAGATTTTAATGAACGAACAATAGAAATTTACACAAAAGCATTTGGACCTGACCATGTTAATATTGCGACAATGTACTTCCATCTGGGTTCGGTTTACAATTCTATTGGAGAGTACGAAAAAGCAAAAGATTTTTACGAACGAACAATAGAAATTGACACAAAAGCATTTGGACCTGACCATGTTAATACTGCGACAACGTACAACAATCTTGGTTCGGTTTACAAAGATATGGGAGAGTACGAAAAAGCAAAAGATTTTTACGAACGAACAATAGAAATTCAAACAAAAGCATTTGGACCTGACCATGTTAATACTGCGACAACGTACAACAATCTTGGTTCGGTTTACAAAGATATGGGAGAGTACGAAAAAGCAAAAGATTTTTATGAACGAACAATAGAAATTTACAAAAAAGCATTTGGACCTGACCATGTTTATTTTGCGACAACGTACAACAATCTGGGTTCGGTTTACAGTAATACGGGAGAGTACGAAAAAGCAAAACGTTTTTATGAAAGAGCGATGGAAATTGAAAGAAAAGCATTTGGACCTGACCATGTTAATATTGCCACAACGTACTGCAATCTGGGTTTAGTTTACAAACAAATGGGAGAGTATGAAAAAGCTAAAGATTTTTACGAACGAGCGATGGAGATTGAAAAAAAAGCATTTGGAGCTGACCACGTTAATATTGCAACAACGTACTGCAATCTGGGTTCGGTTTACATAGATATGGGAGAGTACGAAAAAGCAAAAGATTTTTACGAACGAGCAATGGAAATTAAAACGAAAGCATTTGGACCTGACCACGTTAATATTGCAACAACGTACTGCAATCTGGGTTTTGTTTACATAGATATGGGAGAGTACGAAAAAGCAAAAGATTTTTCTGAACGAGCGATAGAAATTCAAACGAGAGCATTTGGACCTGACCATGTTAATATTGCGACAACGTACAACAATCTGGGTTTGGTTCACAAAGATATGGGAGAGCACGAAAAAGCAAAAGATTTTCATGAACGAGCGATGAAAATTCAAACAAAAGCAATTGGACCTGACCATGTTAATATTGCATCAACGTACAATAATCTGGGTTCGGTTTACAATGATATGGGAGAGCACGAAAAAGCAAAAGATTTTCATGAACGAGCGATGAAAATTCAAACAAAAGCATTTGGACCTGACCATGTTAATATTGCATCAACGTACAATAATCTGGGTTCGGTTTACAATGATATGGGAGAGTATGAAAAAGCAAAAGATTTTCACGAAAGAGCAATGGAAATTCAAACAGAAGCATTTGGACCTGACCATGTTGATATTGCGACAACGTACAACAATCTGGGTTTGGTTTACAGTAAAATAGGAGAGTACAAAAAAGCAAAAGATTTTTATGAACGAGCGATGAAAATTAAAACGAAAGCATTTGGACCTGACCATGTTAATTTTGCGACAACGTACTGCAATCTGGGTTCGGTTTACAAAAATATGGGAGAGTACGAAAAAGCAAAAGATTTTTACGAACGAACAATTAAAATTTACACAAAAGCATTTGGACCTGACCATGTTAATATTGCGACAATGAACTGCTATCTGGGTTCGGTTTACAATGATATGGGAGAGTACGAAAAAGCAAAAGATTTTTACGAACGAACAATAGAAATTTACACAAAAGCATTTGGACCTGACCATGTTAATATTGCGACAATGTACTTCAATCTGGGTTCGGTTTACAATTCTATTGGAGAGTACGAAAAAGCAAAAGATTTTTACGAACGAACAATAGAAATTGAAACAAAAGCATTTGGACCTGACCATGTTAATATTGCGACAACGTACAACAATCTGGGTTCGGTTTACAAAAATATGGGAGAGTACGAAAAAGCAAAAGATTTTTATGAACGAACAATAGAAATTTACAAAAAAGCATTTGGACCTGACCATGTTTATTTTGCGACAACGTACAACAATCTGGGTTCGGTTTACAGTAATACGGGAGAGTACGAAAAAGCAAAACGTTTTTATGAAAGAGCGATGGAAATTGAAAGAAAAGCATTTGGACCTGACCATGTTAATATTGCGACAACGTACCACAATCTAGGCTCAGTTTACGTTCATATGGGAGAGTACGAAAAAGCAAAAGATTTTTACGAACGAGCAATGGAAATTAAAACGAAAGCATTTGGACCTGACCACGTTAATATTGCAACAACGTACTGCAATCTGGGTTTGGTTTACATAGATATGGGAGAGTACGAAAAAGCAAAAGATTTTTCTGAACGAGCGATGGAAATTCAAACAAAAGCATTTGGTCCTGACCATGTTAATATCGGGACAACGTACAATAATCTGGGTTTTGTTTGCAGTAAGATAGGAGAGCACGAAAAAGCCAAACATTTTTGTATACGAGCAATGGAAATTCAAACGAGAGCATTTGGACCTGACCATGTTAATATCGTAACAACGTACAATAATCTGGGTTTGGTTTACAAAGATATGGGAGAGTTCGAAAAAGCAAAAGATTTTTATGAACGAGCGATAGAAATTCAAACGAGAGCATTTGGACCTGATCATGTTAATATCGCGACAACTTACAACAATCTGGGTTTTGTTTACAAAAATATGGGAGAGTACGAAAAAGCAAAAGATTTTTATGAGCGAGCGATGGAAATTCAAACGAGAGCATTTGGACCTGACCATGTTGATGTTGCGACAACTTACAACAATCTGGGTTTTGTTTACAGTAAGATAGGAGAGCACGAAAAAGCCAAACATTTTTGTAAACAAGCGATGTAAATTCAAAAGAAAGCATTTGGACCTGACCATGTTAATATCGCGACAACGTACAACAATCTGGGTTTGGTTTACAGTAATATTGGAGAGTACAAAAAGCAAAAGATTTTTATGAACGAGCGATAGAAATTCAAACGAGAGCATTTGGACCTGACCATGTTAATATCGCGACAACTTACAACAATCTTGGTTCAGTTTACAAAGATATGGGAGAGTTCAAAAAAGCAAAAGATTTTTATGAACGAGCGATGGAAATTAAAACGAGAGCATTTGGACCTGACCATATTAATATCGCGACAACGTACAACAATCTGGGTTTGGTTTACAGTAATATGGTAAAGTACAAAAAGCAAAAGATTGTTATGCACGAGCAATACTATAGAAATTAACATTGAAGCTTTAAATTGCTAGTTGCTAAAAAAGCTTCCGTGTTTGAGAAAATTTACGAGATAGAAGAAAGATGAAATGGATTTGTGGTTCCGTGAATTAAAAAAAAATTTACACTAAAGTCCTAACAACAACAGTTGTATATAAATAAGATTTAAATATATTCTTGATAATATTCAATACAAACATTTGTATTTTCATATTTTCAAGAGTCATTTATTTACTGAAACAGTTTTTTCTGTTAGCTAAGAAACTTGTATGGAACTTTTACAATGTATATGAAATTAGTACGTTTGCAATCTATCTAGTCTAAAGTTGTAAAGCTCCTTAATATGAGTGAAGTGTTTGTTGGGTCATTTTCATGAGAGTAAATCCATATCTTTGAGAAATCATAACAATTTTACATCCCTTTTGTTGAATGCTGAAATGACCAGAAGAG